CTCATTAAGTCTAAGTTTTCCTTATCTGTAAAATAGGTATACTAAAACATACAGCATGGCATTGCTATGAGGGTTAAATGAGAACATATTCATATATAAAAATGCCTGGTGCAGTCCCTGACAAAATTTAGACATCCAATAAATGCTACCTGTTATTGTCACTATTCACTTTCTTGTAAACTTTAATCATGAACTCCTCCTTTATAATTTTAGAATGATTTAACCTGGTTTCTTAGGAATGGGACAGGCCATACTCAAAGTAGACATCTGCAGAAAGTTCCTTACAGTGATATGTGGCAATGTATTTCATAACAGCTCTGCTGTCTAAGGGCATCCAAGACAGATCTGCAGAAACATCAACAATGAAACGGAAGAGAAGTGACCTACTGTTTGTTCGCCTCTGACACCATCAAGATACTTGCCAGCTGGGTTCCAAGAGCAGATTCTTTATTACAGTGATGATGTAAGAGGCAGAAAAAACAGCTGGATTTTCAGGTTCTAGGGAAAATTTGTGGCATCAGCAGCCCCTCAAAATTATCTTTTGACTTAAAAACTGAGTACACTGGATATGAAAGTCATTAAAAGAGAATAAATGTGAAACCCCGTGACGTCATTCTCACTGAGACTTTTTTAGAGTGTAACCACCCTTTAAGCAATAAAACATGACGTACCATGCAGTGGTTCTGATTAATAGATGCTCAGGTGTGTACTAAGGCGAAAGGGGAAACAAGATGGAGCTAGGTGACAATTTGCCAAAAAAATGAAAGTAAGATTATAGCAGTAGGATGTGGGGCTGAGAAAGAAGGGTTTAATTAAAGGACAGACATATTATGGTTGTATTAATTATAAAATATACAATTTAAATCAAATGTTAGATATATTTAAAATATACATTTGTGTAATTACACAAAGGATTTGTAAGTTTGCCAGATAATTTTGCACTGCAATGTACTATTGATGAGTGATTTCCTTTATCATATTAATGTAGTTGCCAGGGGGAGAAAAGAGAAGGAAGTTCTGTCTGGTGAAGTGTTGATATGTCCAGCCTTATAATGGGTTAGAAAGAACAGTGAAGAGCTCTTGAGCCCAGTTTGCTGTTTATGTGGCTGCTGGGGTGATGTTATTTAACGGATGTCTCAATGCATAGCATGGGTCCACCATACTGGCCAAAAAGGGTTTGGTTAATACTGCCAAGGTTTTCCTCTGGTGAGTAACAGTGAATCAGGCGCTCACCTGGGAGATGCAGATGAAGTCTTGCGGTACTGGAGCTAACATTTAAGAGCTGAGCTTTTCTGGCCAGGTATAACTACTGAGATTCCCTGGATAAGTCTGATTTCCTCACCGAGGTAAACACTATTATCCCCACAGCATGTTTTGTTGGGCTTTTCATCTTTGGGTGAGAGAAAATGATTCTTTTTGAGGATGAGGATAAATGCTTCTTCTACTACAAGAGAAGGACAAGGCAAGAAAATTTGAACAGACTCAGAGGCAATTGTCTATGCATTTCTACAAGTAAATTAGTAATATAAGGAAAGAAAAACAAGTAAACATTTAAACAAACTAGAGAATGAGTACTGGACTAAGCTCAGTGGAAAAAGAACTATTAATGTGGCATAATGGCAGATTACCAATAGTCTATTCCTATAAAGTAATGAATGTAAACATAGAATTACTGCATATTTTCACCAAGAATGCCAACTGAACACATAGCTTTTCCAAAGCATGAGATATTCCTTTACTCTTATTTTCAGCCTGAGTTTATCACCCCAGTGGTATTTTTAAAATTTTATTTATTTTTAATTTTTGTGGATGCATAGTAGGTGTATATATTTCTGGGGTACATGAGATGTTTTGATATAGGTACACGATGTGAAATAATTACATCATGGAGAATGCGGTATCTATCCTCTTAAACATTTATTTTTGTGTTACAAACAATCCAATTGCCCTCTTTTAGTTATCTTTAAATGTATGATTATTATTCCTCTAGTCACCCTGTTATGCTATCAAATAGTAGGTCATATTCATTCTTTCTATTTTTTGTGTCCAGTAACCATCCCCACCTTTTCCTCAGTGGTGTTGACAGTATTGTCATAATTATTTCTGCTGGTAACGTTAGAAAAATTTGCTTCCTTATTTTTTAAATCCACCCTCATTTTTAGATGTTATTTAACTATAAAATATATTTATTAGTTCAGTTTGTTGAAGCAAATAAATAAAGCAAATTGTTATTTTTGGAACACAATATATTTTTGCAGGCTATGCACCCCAACCTCCTCTGTCTGGTCTTGTCATTGTTGATGATCTGTTGGGCCTACTGGTGCCAAGTAAGCACTGATAAATATTGGTCTGTGGCCTTTTATGTGTGTTATCCTTGCCCAGCCACTAACAAGGATGTGACCTTGAGCAAGTCAGTTCCCTTAATCTCTTCATCCGAAAAATGAGGGGGTTGAAGTAGATGAGCTTTGAGGTCTTTTCAATTTAGTCCCAGTTTCTATGACTCTAGCAAGAGTATTTGTTCCCCTTAAATTCAGTTCAGCATATTATCAGCCTCGTGCAAACTTAAGTGCAAGAAAGCATTGCCCACTCACTATAGGGCACTCAGAGTAAAAACTGTCTCAACTTTCAGAGAGCTTATGAAGGGGAAAGACAAATCACACAAAGAACCATTAGAATTGGTAGAATATGCAAAGGGAATAGTACAAAACGTGGTCATAGTATTTAAGAAGGGCATTCTCCTTTGTGAAATGCTGCAGAAATGAGGTGGCACTTGGATGGCCCTTGAAGAAGCTACATGTATGTAGACACTGAAAGAAGGGAAGAAATACCATGAACATGGTGGGAAAGAGTAGGACTTTGCTGGAGTGTAGAATGGAGTGTAGAGATAAGAGTGAGAAACTAGATTGGGCTATATTGTAGCTTTGACTACCAAACTGAGAAGTTTGAATTTAATCCAATAAGCAAAGAGAACTGTAAGAAAAGAAGTGATATGTTTTAAAGAGCACTTTAGAAAAATTAATGTAACATTTGTGTGAAGGATGGACAAGAGGTAAAGAAAAACTAGAAAAAGTGAAGCCAGTCAAGAGCCAGTCAAGATGTCCTCACAGTAGGTCGTAAAGGGAGAAATAGAGGTTGGTGTAGAAAACAGCTATTGATTCAGGAATCACAATCAGAGTAAAAACCACTGGATTTGGCAACTAATTGGATACAGGAAGCAAAAAACAGAAGAATTAAAGATGACTCCCCAATTGTAGGCCCACGTAACTGGATGAAGAGAATACCAATGGCAGGAAATGGAATGTCTAGAGAAGGAACAGATTTTAAGGGAAAGTCAGTTAATTCAGTTCTACACTTTCTGAATTAGAAAAGCCTGTGTAGTATTTGATGGAGATGTGAGATTGTCAAAGTTAGAGGCCCTGCCTTATTCATCCAGGTGCCTAGTAGATGCTATATAAATACTGAATGAATGGACAAAGGAATGAATGAACCAACAACCAGGTGTTATTTAGAATGTGGGTGTGCAGCTCTGTAGAAAAGCTAGAACTAAAGATAGCAATGTGAATGCTTTCTATGGAGAAGAGATTGTTGAAGTTAGGGAGGGCTGGGGTAGACAAAGCCTGAGGAGAGAGTCTAGAGGAATGTCTACATTTAGAGAACAGAGGAAAGAAAATAAGCCAGTGAAGAAGGCAGGATAGCAGACTGAGATGTAGGGGAAAAAATCAGGGTAGTTCAGTGTCCCAGTGCAGAATGAGGTGGATTTCAGGAATTAAGTGGGTCATGGTCATTGGAGCCTAATGTGGCCAAAAGGGTGAGGCCCAGAAAAAGACCACTGGGTTTGAGGCTCTAGAACAGGTAATAGTTCCATAGCCCCTCAAGCTGAACTCCTCAGGATTAGAGGCTATGGGAGAAAATGGAGCCTTTGCAGTAAAGGACAGAGGGAGTGCTCAGAACATGCCCAGATCAATGAGTGTCACTAGAATAGGTAAGAACTAACCAATAGAGAAAGAGAGAGAGAGGGGGAGGGAGAGAGAGAGAGAGAGAGAGAGAGAGAGAGACAGACAGACAGACAGACAAGTGGAATGAAGTATATCAGAAATGTGGTAAAAGTACACAATGGAACACTATTCAGCCTTTAAAAAGAAGGAAATCTTGTCATTTGCAGCAACATGGATGAATCTAGAGGTCATCCATGATATATGGAAAAAAATATACTTTTTTTGTACTAGAAAAGCCAGGTACAGAAAGACAAATACCACATGATATCACTAATATAGGGAATCTAAAAAAGCTTAATTTATAGAAGCAAAGATTAGAACGGTGGCTGGCAGAGGCTGGGGAGACATCAGTCAAAGGACATAAAATCTCTCTTAGGACGAATAGCTCCAGAGATGTACTGTACATCCTCGTGACTGTTGTTAATAAGAATGTAGTGTATATTGAAAATAACTGTAGATTTTAAGTGTTCTCACCATGAAAAAATGATAAATATGTGAGGTAATACATATTTTAATTAGTTTGATTTAGCCATTCCATGGTGTATACATGTATCAAAACATCATATTTTATACTATAAATATATACAATTTTTAAGTGTGAATCAAAGATAAATAAACATAATAAATGATAAAAAAAGAGAAACGGCTATGAGAAGAATCAACTGTGGCAAGGTTGAAGGACACTCTTTCTACCTCCTTCCCCCACTTTGACCCACAACTCAGCTTCTATGCCAGAACCTGAAAATCAGCTCCGCCAACAGTGACAAGGTACTGTTGATGTCTCAGGCTGCACAGGCAGTTAGGTGAAAGCACTGAAAATGGAGCCTGGACAACATCCTCTCCATTCCTCCTTCCCTAACTCACCATCCTCTGGTGCAAAGATGTAGAACCAACCAACCAACCTCTCGTTCAAGTCCCAAAGTTCTTTACGATCAAAATAAATAATTGCCATCACCATCACCTGTTCATGTAACAACCTTATTTTTGTTTTTTTGTCTGATCTAGATACAGCCACTCTCTGTTCCCTGCCCCAATGAACATCTGCACTAGGCCCAAGCCTTGGAGTGATTTACCTGAAGAGTGACACCATTTATTCTGAAACTACTGTGAGTACATTATGTCTCCAATAAAGCGCTTCTTAGTTCACTTCGTTTAAACACACACACACACAAAATTATGAGAGCAGGCGAAATTTTAGATGGCTTCATTTCTTGATCATCAGGGTAACCACTCAGTCCTGAGGTGCCCCCAGTAGTTCTCAACTTCCCGGCTGCAGTGCACGCCATGTGCAGTGTCATTCCCTCCTGGCCAGATGGCTGTGCCGAGCTAGATCTGAACACACCTTGCAAGGACTGGTGCTGTTCTGCTTGGTCATCTGTGCCTCTACCTACAGTGATGGCAGCTCCTCCTGATCTGTGTCCTTCTCATCATCCTTCTGTGCCATGCAGCTGAATCTCACGGTAGCTTGTCATTTCATGCCACCCTGGTCAAGTCTGTGAGCCAGGTTTGCTTGCTTTTATTTACCTGTTGTCTGAGCTGCAACCCATGCTATTGTCTCCTTGCTGCCCTCCCCTTGGAGCTCTAGGCTCCTTCTACCACAATCTCTAAGCCACTGCATCCAGCTCAGCTCTGCTCTCTGAATGTATGGGTCTGTAGTTGGTTTAGTTCCTGCCATGAAAGGCATTTATGTAGGAGAAGCTCAGCCTTTGCAAGGAAAGGTACAGAAATAATTTGGGATAGGAGATATGATGCCTATGAAAAATACTGATGAAAGATTGATACCAAGTATTCATTAATCATTGCTAAAATAACAGATGAATATATGCTATTTTCCACTAGAAAAGCCAGACATTTGAATTATTTAGAAGTTCTTCATGCAAAACAACTTAATTATACATTTTAAAACAAAAACTCATTCTAGTTGTTATATTCATAAGTTTTCCTATATGTTATGAGGCAGGTAATGGGATGGTGTTTTTACAGACTTCTATGTTACTGGAAAACGCCAAAACTGGGAGACTAACATCCCTCTTAGGCTTCAGGTAGGATATTTACATTCATATTTCTATGTCTTTAGCTATTCTGCTATAAATCAAACCCAAAGGGATGAAGCCAGAGTTTTGTTTTATTTTGTGTTGCTTTTTTACCTTTAATGCTTTCAGTCAACTGAATCCTAGCTGATGTTAGCTGATGTGTAGTTGATAGGCCTGCCCTTCCAGGAAGGGAATGTGTTCTGTAGTACAAAATGATTGAGGTATTGGGGACTAGAGACATGACAGAAAATCAAACATAGTTTCTTCAGTCCACACCCACACAAGGAACTTACTTGTGTATACCTTCATTCATCGTAAGTTCCAGTGCAAGAAGTACCTTAGAAATCCTCACATCCGGATAGTTTTTTGCGTTTTTCTTCATCGCAGAGTAACTAAGATGATACAAGTAACATAGCCTTAGTATAATGCAGGTATGTTTCAAAGTTTCTATATCCTTTAAGAGAGAAAAGAATCCTTATCACTCTTACCTCCTGTGCTGCAGAGAACCCAGATCGAGACCTAGAAATCAGGACCTGATGTTGCCTACAAATTACAGAGAAGTCCACAAGTTAGCATCTGTTTCTGTCATAGGAAGTACTCCATCTGTGCAGGATGCCAGTGCCTGCTTTTACTTCTCATGGGCCCTAGAGAACGGACAGATTGGGTATAATCTTTGCAGTCTCTGCTATTCAGAAACTTGGCTTTCTAAAGCATAAAAGAAAAATAATAATAAAACTGCCAAAGACTTGCTAGGTGCAAAAATAAACAAGGAGGATAAAATTTTAAATGTGAACCATTTGCAGAAGTATATCTCTTCTAATGGGTTGACAACGCTCTGGGCCTGGTCTCAAGTCTTGGAAGTGGGTTGGGGAGGCACATATTAAATTTTAACACCTACCCACACCCATTCCACCTGCACAATCATGCCCAGTGACCCTGCCTACTTAACCAGATTATTGTGATAATTAAATGAGATGGTATATATATAAAATGTCTATCATGGCAGAGGTGAGTATATTTACTCTCTCATATAAATTTTGCTGAGCATTTACTATGTGCCAGACACTGTTCTAGGAACTAGGGACATGACAGCAAGCAAAACAAACAAAAATCCCTGCTTGACTGAACTTACATTCACTTACATTGCTCTATGAATGGCAATTCGACATAATAGGTATATGGAAACTAAGAGAGAACTAGTTTTATTTTGCTCTGTCCTTCCTTCCAGAAAGTATAATTGAGAGTATAAGAGAGAAAGAACACATATGTTGATTAGTCTTCCCACCCCATTCCAACCCTCAAAAAACCCCAGAACCATTCTTTGCCCTGCTATGTGACCGAGAAGGCTGGCTTTCTAGACTACATTACCCTGACTCGCTTGTCCTTGGGCTTCCCTTTGAATTTGACCAAAAGGAAATACCAGCAGGAGATGTGAAACTGGGAAAAGAGAGAGATCAGGGAGTGTATTAGTCCAGCCCTCCTTCCCAACTCCAATTCTGACTGGACTCAGAAATCATCACCCTTTTACTTGCCCCTTCAGTTAAATGTTTACAGCTTTCCACTCTTGCTAGTACCTGGTGCTATCTCCTTTGAGGTCCCTTAGCCTCATCTGCACCTCCAAATACAGTTCTTTTATTAAACCCTCTTTAGCTAAAAACTTTGCATGTGCCATCTATTTTTGCCAGGATCCTGAATGATACAGTTAGGAGGAAATTTTACTGAAAAAAAACATTACAAATCAGCCCTGCCAAGGTTAAAAAAAATAAGATTGAGAAAATAAAATGTTTTTAATCACAAAAACATCCCAAATTGATGTGAGGACATCAGACCAAGTAGAGAAATGATAAATTGTAAGAAAACACGATAAGCCAGAATGCCATAGGTTGGTCTCAATGAATAGACCATAGTGCTCAGGCTTGATGGGCTTCTGCAGGCCAAGTGCAGCCTGCTCAACCCTCAGCTTCAAGGAGCTCATGGTGTAGTGTAGCCACAGCAGTGACAAACATATGAGCAAAAAGGAGATGTCAGGAAGTATACAGTGAGATCAAGTGTTGAGGAAGAGATTGCTTGTCCTAACATTGTTTCTGCCTTTGCTACAATAACAATCCATTTGCCCCTGCCCCAAATCTAGATACCTAAACAGATTACTGAGATGAAGGAGATATCTTCTTAAGCTAACCTGATGAAAGTCACAGAACTAACAATACCTATGAGAGGAGCTACCATTATCGAGCCCTTACCATGTACCAGCACAAGGCTAATCACTTTACGTGGCTAATCTCATTTGTTCCTCACAATAACTCTAAGTGGTAGGTATTATTATTCCCATTTTACAGATGAGGAAAATGAGGCTCAGAGATGCAGAGTAATCTACCTAAGGCACAGTAGTGGAGATCAGTTCTGCTACCACTCTTGTTGGTGTGGTTTGTTACCACCTACCCTTTCTCCCCTGCACAGATACTAAGCCTATTTAATGTATTGTTGGAGAAAAGAGTAGGGAAATGGTTATGACTCCGGAAAGATTTGGGGAGGCATCACTGGTCTAAATTATCATGAGCCAATGACTGAGTAATTATTTATCAAAAGGAGGTTCCAACTAATTCTTTTCTACCTGAAAAGTAATAGAGACATTACTTATCAGATAGGAAAAGACCTGATAAGTAAAAGGCACATTAACGTGCAAGAGAGGGTGAGAGCCCAGTGAAAAGAGAAAACTGGGATAGGGTGAAAGAAGAGAGCACTCTCCTCTCAACACCCTGGAGACTGCTAAGAGCTCACACAGATAAAATATTTATTTTTCCATATGTTGCAGAAAGCATTGCCATCACTGTATGTGTGCAATATGTGCAAGAGAGTGTGAAATATATACATCAAATGCCGCCGATCTGGTTGATTTCCATGCATTTAACATGCTTAATACCTACCATATCATCAATATGTTTTAATGCATATTTCTTTCCACATACAATATGGTCTAGTTAGGAAAGAGCCAACATCCTCAACAGCCTTACTCACTGCTATGTTTCAGCCTAAAACTTCTTCCCGGGGCCAGCACAATGAGAGTTAAAAACCGGCAGGCTCTGCTGGGCTAACTCGGCCGCTAGTCTCCTTAGAACACCCTCCCAATTCTTGAGCAGCCTTTTCTCATAACAGAAATGTTTGCAGTGAGGAGATGAAAATGTTTTTGTTCTCCTTGGACAATTGGGAGATGTTCAGTCAGAATGTCAGAACTGGCCGTTGAAAGGCGGGTGCCTGTGACCACGCTTTTAATTTTTTTTTTTTTTGAATGCAGAGCTCCACCAGTGTGGCGGGAGGAAGTGCACAGTGATTGGTCTGTTTCTCTGTGGAAGTGTTCAGGGTACACCCAGTTTTGCTTTGCATATATTTACGAAACATCTGCCCTTTTCTTATTCTTAAGTCCTTCCCTCTCACCAGCCCCCTTTCCCCTTTTCCCTGGTTTCTTTCTTTGTTGTTGTTGGCTTGTCTAACTTTTTCATTGGAGCTTTCATTTTCCGGTTGAGGGGCGACTTCATCAGAGTGTATAATTTTAACAGAGAAAGGGAGGGAGGGAAGGAGGAGGAAGTCGGGGGGAGAGAGAGAGAGACAGAGGGAGGAGAGAGAGAGAGAGAGAATGAGAATTGAAAAGAAAGAGACTGAGAGGCCAGAGAATTGAAAAGAAAGAGACTGAGAGGCCAGAGCCTGGCAAATCAACCTTTGGCATGGTGACCAGGAGGAAGGTTCTGGTCGAGAGTTTGCCTCTCTGAAATCCGCTGGAGTCAGCCAGTGTGCTGCTGCCCTCTAAAGGCTCCAGTGAATAGTGCATCGCCACAGAGGCTTGAAAAGACTTGCCCTCAGATGTGTCATGTTTATAATTCTTTTTATACAGCTCCAAAATGAATTTTCAATCAATTATGATACAGCTTATTCTTTCCTCCATAATAAACTATGAACTGCAAAAATGGGGTCAGTTCATAGCACCTGTGCATGTCTAGACATAAACGGGTGCTACGTTTTAGGGTTTCTCAGCTCCAGAAAAAGGGGTCAGAAGAACTATTAGAGAAGGTGAGATAGGAAATAAATTGCTTCTGAGGATGGTGAGCAGTTCTCTGATATCTGCACAGTTGGGAAACAGCCCAGTGGTATAAGACTAAGTAAAGTGATATGAGACTAATGAGGGGGTAAGCCAAAAAGGTTGAGTTTTTAACATTTCTTGTTTATAGAGGTAGCTCCAATGCCTCTGTGCTATGAATATTCTCCCAAAGTGATCACTGAGGCAACAGGAGTGTGTGGTACAAGATGTCAGGTAGGAAACGAGCGAATCTAGGGAAGGAAACAAGAGCATTGATAGGAAGAACAATATAAATTTTTGCTGTGTTAAAAATAAAAGAGTAATATGAGTGGCTTGGCTATGTCCTTATGTTTAAAAGAAAGCTCCCCTAATTTTCTGAAACACACATCTGAAAGTATCCTAGGAGCTGCCTATGAATACCAAAAGTAAGCATTTTTTCTGCTAGTTGATATATGTCATTACTATTTCATCCCTATATTTAAATGAATCATGACGGCTAGCCTAGCCTTACTGAGCAAAACAGTCCTGCTCTTATTAAATCCCCTTCACAGACCTAAAGCAAAAGCAACCAGTCAAGGTAGTTTTGCTACCTTGATGCATAAAAAGTAGGAAACTTAATTGGGATTCAGACTATGACTATTCTTAAAATACACTTTAATGTCAGCTTCATTTCATTCCATCCACAATCAATTATTGAATGCCAGCTTTGTCTAAGCTACACTGCTTAATAGTATAGACGAGGCAGTAAACTCTGGGAAGGAAGGAATCAGGCCTGTTTTATTCTTTGGTATATGTTGGCACATCATGGTTACATCATAAATATTTGTAAAATGAATATGTAAATGAATGAATGACAGAAGAGAAGGAAGAAAAAAGAATAGATGAACACAGGAATACAAAAATAACTAAGACATTTCCTTACCTTCAGAGAGCTTACAGTCTCATAAGAGGGATATGCACATAAATTGCCATTATTGAAATAAAATTTAGTGAGTGAAATAAGATTAGGGAAAAAAAAAAGAGCTTAGGTATTTCAGAGAAAGACCTAGGGAGAAATTCAATGTGGGGAGTGAAGTGCTATCTGGTAGAGAGGAATCAAGACAGTTATAAGATGAAGATACTATTTAATACTGTAAGTCTGAAGGATAAGTATGATTGCAACAGGACAGAGATGAAATATGGGATATTCAAAGCAAGAGAAAACTTGAACAAAGCTGTAGAGCCAAGAATGTGGATTCCCAGGATGTTCTAGGGGATATTCAAGTAATTTGAGAGTTCAGTGTGGCCAATATATAGGACACATGAGAAAAGTTAGAGGAGATACGGAGCCGACCTTGAGTGTCAGGCTAATGTAGTCATCTTAGATTTAGTGAATGCAAAGAAGCAGGACCCAAGGCGTGAAAGAGGATGGAGAGCCAGTTAGTAAACAATCAGCTAGATAAAAGGCAGTAAGGTGATTGCAGTGAAACTGGAATGGAAACACAGATGTTTATTGATCACAAAGAACTGATTGATGAATTGGCTTTAAGGTAGAGGAAGGTGTATAGTGACCCTGTGTTTTCTAACCTGGTGGTAGATAACAGTGAGAGAGATATGACCTTGGAGAAAGCATTGGTTTTAATAAAGGAGTTGGGCTTTAGCAACTTTGAGCTTGGCTACAGAATACCAGCTTCTTGGGGGTCCATGTAGACACTCAAGATTTGGGGTTACTCTCATAATCACCATTCAACAAACAATTGACAAGGTCTTATAATTTGTTGCTTCTCTTATATTGCCTTCCTCCATACTGAAAAAGATGTCTGAAAGTCTCCTCTATTCTAATCTTTACCATGCCATCTCTGCCTCCTGCCCTCTGAAGAAACAGATTTTATTTCACAACCTGTTGGACTGAAAACACAGCATACTAATCATAACACCATATTCTGCGAGGGCAGATTTAACTACCCAGTACAACAAATTTAAATACAAAATATTCTGCATAACAAGTCCATTACCATGCTCACAGAAACAAGGGAAACATGGAACAAATCTACTTACAACAAATTCTGTACCACACATAGTTTTCTACACATAAAAGAAATGCTTTTTCTGGTCACTATCCACATCATGATAGAAAAAGACACAAATCCAAGTGAATTGGGGAAATGTTCAGAAACTATTACTAATAATCCAGTTTGACTGGGGTCTAGGTTATGTGTAGCATAAGTTAAGTGTTTGCTAATTTCATATCAGTTGCATTGTCCTTGGGAGAGGAGACCTGAGCTGACTGATAGCTGTGCTGTTTTACTTCCTATTCTGACCTTGTATAACAATAGTAACAATTACTTTCTAATTCCCTTCACCCATCTCTTCCTTACATCTCAAACACACAATCACACCCTAAACTCCAGGACGATGCACTAAATCCAAAATCTTAGGCGTAGGATGAGTAGAGTTGGAGTAGAGAAATCTCTGCATGTCACCTTACCTCCTTAGCTACTAGAATCTAAGCTTTTCTTTGACTTTTCACTTGCTACTCTCAGAAGCCTCCATCACTACCCCCTCATCTGTACTGCCTGCAAATTTAAATTGTGATTTGAAATTTTATTGATTTAAAATAAAGTCTAAATAACAGCAAGAAAGTTGAATGTTCCATAATGTATTCCATGAGTAGAAATTTAAAGTTGGAAGGAACCTTTAAGGCCTTCTAATCCAAGCCCTTTATTTTACAGATGAGGAAACTGAAGCCCAGAGAGGTGAAGTGAGGTGCCCAAGGCCACACAGCAAGTTAGAGGCACAGCTAGTACCGTAGCTCAAGTCTCCTGACTCCCAGTCCAGTGCTCCTCCCATTACTCCACGAGTCCTGTCTCTAAGCTTCCTGACAAATGCTAGAACGGTAAAACTTCCACTAGTATTTTTCCAGACCATGTTAAAACTCCTAAGGGGGGAAGAGGGATGCTTTCTTGGATAATGTCAGCCATACGTAGCTCAAGCTGTCTAAAGTTCTGGGACAGGGTCTTTTTATGCAGCCAACAGAGTCCAAATGTGGTGCTGTTTTCTTGGCCCATATGCTTTCATGTGTTCCCAGTTAGGCCATTACTGGAGGGAAAAAAAACAAGAATCAGCTTGTTTTAAAACAAGGGACATACTGGACTCCCTCCCATCCCCCTTCAGAAAAAAAAAATCAAGTTATCTTTAACAGATTCTAAAAATGCCTTTTCCCAAATATGCAGTCAGTTCCTTCAAAGGGCCCTTTGTTTATTTTCAGGAAGAAACCCAAGACAGCTGAAAACCAGAAGGCATCTGAGGAGAATGAGATTACTCAGCCGGGTGGATCCAGCGCCAAGCCGGGCCTTCCCTGCCTGAACTTTGAAGCTGTTTTGTCTCCAGACCCAGCCCTCATCCACTCAACACATTCACTGACAAACTCTCACGCTCACACCGGGTCATCTGATTGTGAGTACACCACTAAGGTGATGGTGTCTTCGCAGTGCTTGGAATAATGCTTCTCCCCTGGGTTCTGGCTTTTTTACTTTCAGAGCAAGCTGTTTGCATTTGGTCTTCTAAAGCAGCCAAAAGCAACGTGCCACCATTTTCATTCAGCCAACATCTATATATTTTAAAAGCTAGAGTATATTTAAAAGCCAGGTGACAAGCCATTTGACCTTAAAAGGCTGATTAATTACATAAACCACGTTCTTTCCTAACGTTAACTCAGAAAAAGAAGTTTTGTTACCGATGTCTATTTATTCTTGATCTGGATAACGGCACTTCCACGATTACTAAATTGAACAGCCAAACATGGACCTCAGAAAGCCAGTTAGACACGAGGAAACATCCATTTTGAAATTACATAACACAAGTCAGATTTGCATTCGTTATTGGAGTCTCATGTAGCTTGGCTGAATTTCTGTCTTTCCAGTTTTTAATTTATTTTGAAGTGGTTAAAGGATAGCATAAATTTACAGAAGAAAAGAGAATGGCTTCCAAGAATTCAGAAGCCACCCAGACTTCACATAGCCAATGAGAATCCAGGTTAAAAATATTTTTTAATTAAAAAAACTGCCTAAGGGCTAAATTTGGAAATGGGCAGCTTAATGCGATCGTCGCTATTGAAATCACTTCTTTGCTGTTTATTTTTGCCATCTTCCCACTAATCTGGGAGTCACTTCTTCTAATTCTATTTTAAGCAAGTTGATAAATCACGTTTAGGAGATTTTTTTCTCTTTCTGAAATGTAACCCAATACTTCAGAGAAAAAGAAACATGTGTGTTGACAATGGAAAGGAATGAAATAACTTTGGAGTCGAATCCAAAAGAATATTCCTTTTAGTCTTAAGATACCCAACAACTCTTCTGAACTGATCTCCATACACGATGTCTGGTAACATGCAAATAACTGGCATATTTTTTTAAAATGAGGAACATAAGACCCGCAAAGTTTTATTTCAAAAATAAAATTCTGTCCACAAAGACAAAAATGATTAATTAGGAAATAAGATTCTAAATCTTTTATTGTTATTTTTCTGACAGAACAAATGTAAAATTCTGCAAAGAAGGCAAGAGACAAATCGGTCCAGGAGATTCCATTCTCTACTTGCTTCGTCATGATAGTCTTTGAATAGAGGGAAATGACCTGGGGCAGGTTTGGGGTGAAGAGAGCTTGTACTACTTAAGGTTGGACTAAGACCATCTAGCCATCACTAGAAAATGAAAAGGGAAGTAACGTGGGCCAAATCTCTGTGGCCCATGAGATTTGAACAAAGTTGCGGCTTCTAAAGAGAAACCAGGGGGCAGGCGCAGGGATGGTGTCCTGAGGACTGTCCTGATAGTCACATCCTTGGACCTTCTTGCCTGGCAGCCTCCAGTGTAATAGTAAAGACAGAACTGGAAAGTAGCATGGCACAGTGCCTACAGGCGTGTGCACACCGTCCCTTCCCACCAGGAAAAGAGCCCGTTTGTGTGGTGAAAGGGCTATTTTCTACATGCAAATCTTCATTACCTGGCTTTGTGCCACACCTTATGGGTGTGGATTACCTAGAATTGTCTTGGCCCAAAAATCTTCTGTTATGGCAAAAATAAATGTTTTGCTGAATAGAAAAAGCATTGGGCTTCATATTGTGCTTTATCATGAGCATCCTCTGGCCAGGCCCTAGCATTGGCATGAAGTATGTTTAAGGAACAGCATGAGTATGGTGTCACCATACATCTCCTTGGTGGCCCTGAGGAAGCCAGTGGATGTGAGCTCAGTTGGAAGAAAAAAACGAGGAGGGGAAACCTGATCTCCAGCTGTTTAGAAAGTCACTTTGATTTTTCCATTAAGATGTGTAAGTCTTCTCTGTTCCAACCTGTTGTTTAAATTGATTATACTTTTCTCCAAATATATTTGGATTGTAGTTTGTCCTGATTTGAGCCTACACTTAGAAGAAAATTGTTTTTAGGAAAGATTCACAGAAATCTGTCCATTTGGAGATTGCTTGAGAGAAGACAGGAAAAAGGTTTATTTTAAGCTGTTAAAATTTTTGGATGCTCTTCTTGCATTCAAGAGGATTTTTTTTTTTTTTACTTTCAAATGTCATTCTTACCATAGATTAATTTAAAAGCCTAATTTCTGTAAGGTAAAATATTCAGTTCCTATTTAGAACTAACAGATTTGGGGCATTTAAAAATAGTGCCCTTGACTTGTTAGTCTCTTTAACTTCAGAAACATTCCACCAGTGTGTGGTGTTCCAAGCTTTCACAAGTGCCTGAATTTTTATAGCACCTTTTTATTTGTCATGTGTTTAGCAAAATTATTCTTAGTCATGATTTAATGCCCATTTCCTGTCAGTATGATCCTTCCCAATTTACAGATGAGAAAACTGAGAAAATTGACACCCAGGTAGATGAAAGACTCGCTTGTGGTTAACTCATTTGGGTGTTTATGGATTTGCTCTCATTGTGAGAGCGTTTCTTATTGGAATTCTCTATTGAGCCCAAAGATGGCATTCCTGGCTCTGAACAGGCATCTTCAAAATGTGCAACTACTCATATTGGTGACTGGGTTGTAAAACATGATGGATAAAGCATCCTTACAAAAGAAAAGCCGGCTCTGCATAGGAACTGACTTGGGTGGGTAAGCCACAGTCTTTTTGCATATGAAGGACATAGGCTGTTTTACAGCAAAGATGACAAGTCTGACCCCTTAAATTCTCAGTTGACTATTTAACCTACTGTGCCTCTTCAAATTTGGCAAAAGATCCCAGTAATATTCAAAACAAGAAGAAATACAGTTGAGATATGCTTTCTTTTGTGAGCTGATGAGGTTAATATTGCTGCTAATATGTATGTTGCTTTCCAGTGTGCCTACTAACACAATTTCCTTTTAGCAATATTTCCCCTTTACCTCCTAGCTTATCACCTCTTCACCATTGCTAAAAGCTAATGGTAAGCAAATTCAGATGGTGATAACGGAAGGCATTAAGATGAGTTATGGAATCTGAAAGGTAAAAAACACCCTAGGTGTTTGACAAAGAAGTTACCCACTAAACAGGCTGAGTATGAGCTGAGCCAAGTGCTCCCTTTGAATGCTGAAGCAGGACTAAACCAAGTCAGTAAAGCAGATGAAGCTCTCCATATGAAAAACCTTTCTTGACAGCTATCAAGCTGTAGCACATCACAGTCATATACATGTGATAGACGTGACCAGAACTTTTACTTGCATATTTCTTCCATTTTGTTTTCCCCCAAATAAGGCTTCCATTGAAAGAAGTGATTTTCCTCTCTGTGGCGGTCCTCCCTACTTCTGCTGTGGAGCCACTTATTCTGATGTCTTTCTTTTGCTGGAAGCTGATATCCGTGGTGACTTACCTTCCTATGTTTTACACCGGCCTCATCAGACTGTCTGTTTTTTTGTGTCCTTGCCAAGATGCACTTACCCATGAACAGTTTTTATTTATTTTTCACTGAACCTTTACACATTACCAAACTGTCATGTGGGTGGATTTAACTTTAGCTCTATAGGTAGCATCACTCTGCTGGGGCTGGGCACTCGCAGAGGCCGGTGGGCTCTCCCTTTTCCAACTCTTGCCATCCGCCTTCCTTGGCCTCCCCCTCCCAACCATTTGCTTTACCCGCCCAAGTCCCTGTGATTAAAATTTTTAGTACACTTGGCTCATTTTGAACTTTTAGGCAATTTTTTAGAGAACAAAACAAAGAGGATTTTTATGGCAAACTCCATTAATGCCACATTAAGGCTGACATTTTAATTACCCCAAAGTCAGGAAATGCAAAGTTCAGGTTCCCACAGCAACAGAAACTGTCCCCTTGAGTGCTGGCATCACAGCAGATTCTTTCATTCCCTGATTACACAACACCGGGCGTGGGGACATTGTTTTTATCCACGTATGTGGAAAGGAGCACAGCTTTTATCCTTTGATTTTTTTCCTGTAACTACAGTTGAGGATATGGGTCTTTAGCTTCCCTCCCAAAACCATCTATATGTATTATCCTGGAACGGAAGACTCTTATAGCTCTGCATGTGCACACGGACAGAATTAAAGTTGCTGTGGGAACATTAACTCTGATTTCCGGACTTCCGTGCCAGTCACATTTAAACCATAATGTTGTAATTTTTGGCATGTAATAAATGTGCATTTCATGTACACAGACAGAAAGAAGCATAAAATGTATTTTAAAGAGCAATTAATTACTAACTTTGTGATTAAAAAACATTTGGTGCATGTTCCTTCCCATTTAGCATCAGCTGCTGGTCTTAGCCAGGCCTAATAGATGACATACTGTGTCTCATCCTGTAACTCAGATGTACTTACTGTATGTTCCTGTTCTTCCAGATAATTAATTCCCTTAGTAAAGCTGTAGGGGGAAAACAAAATGGAAGGAATATGCAAGCATGTAAATAGGGTAAGGGATATTTTGAAAGAAATGATTCATTTCTGAAAATAAACCTTTTAGTCCCTGATAATGAGCCAGAAATCTGCTAAGTGGGTGTAGACAAAGGTTTCTGGCCACCTTAGAGCATCTGGTTCGGGGCCATAAGAACAACTTGAAAGCAGATTTCCTCTTGAATTCTAGGCATGCCCACTGAGGGAGTGATTTTACTCTAAAAACTTTTAGGCTTAAGACTTAAAAAGTTGTTTTACTCTATAACAACTTTTTTATGCTGTATTCAAACTGGAAAGTAAAAGTTATAGGGCATCGGTAAGATGAGGGTTTTGCTAAAGAACCCCTGACTTAAAGAGTAATTTTTTTTCTTCCCTTACATTTAAATTTGGTTTACCTATTTGTGGTGGAGAAGGAAGTGTTTCAAAATAACTGAACGGGTTTGTGAGTGAAAGGAGTTAGTAGCAATACTCTATGGTGCCATATTTAAAAATGTGAATGCTTGAGCATATATTTGAAACCAGATGAGATAAAAAATTTTACTGAAAGGATGTATAGCTTAAACTCTAGGAAAGT